GCACATACATATCCAACGCGTCATCTGTATGCACGGCACATTCGCCTCCCACACCGGAAGGTAGGTGCACTACATATAATATTGAGAGTGTGATCATTAAATTATTTTTGCGTCACAGTATGACTATTTTTATCTTGATAAAAAAATACGACGTAACGTAATTTACTTGTGTAAATAGTGTTATTTCCATCATTTACATTTTACATTTTACTTTATGTCCAAAACAAAAATAGTTCAATGAAATTGTAATTTTAATAAGATTGTATTGAAACAAAGAAATATTGTAGAAATAACTTGTACAACTCTCGTTTTCCAGTTCAGATATGATTACGATTATTAAACAGTTACATTTAGAAAAGTATCAAAACAAGTTACGATTTATATTCAGTGATTAATTATGTTTTTTTAACTCTTTGCTTTTTTTACGATAATGTATATTATATATTAAAAAACGAGCTAATATTAATAGTTTGCATCCGTTGAACTCTTTGCACCCATGGTAAGAAAATAATATTTTTTTAATCATTAAATTTCTGAAATAATTATTTTTATCATAAAAGTTAGATAAACATAAGTAATTACAGGTTACATATAATCCAAAAATTTTTTTACACTTTTCTGTCAATCTCAGCCAAAATCCAACTAATCTCCAATCATACAACATCAAACTCGATAGATTCACCACGCTGTTGTTTAAAAGATTGATGGTTCGAAGAGCTTTCGTCTATTAATACCACTGTTTAATACCATCATAAACAGAGTCATTTGATACACTTTAAGACTAGTGTCTGTAAGTTCATGAAATTGTAAAAAGAGTGAAAAACTAATGTAAGGAAACACGGTGAGGCTGAGCATCAGGTGGTTGGTGGTGACTCTAAATAGTCTGGGACACAACTTTCCAGCTATGATAGTCATGCCATTACCAAATACAATTACTACTGCCAGTACTACGGTAACGATAAACTTATACATCTCGATACACTAATGTGCCTAAAGATAAAATATTATGATTTATCCTGAATTCGATGATCCAATTGCACCACTTAATCATGAGAGTTCATTGTTTAGTCATATACTCTTTTACTTTTTTACAAAACGAAATACAGAGAATACTGAAATTTCCATAAAAAATTGAAAAACAATAACTAATAATGTATATTGTGGTGTGCTACCAATAGTCTTCTCTTCATGCATTGCTGCCACAGCACTGCAAACATGCGGAACATATCAAAGAAAATACAACCACGTTAATAAGCTTATTAGTTTCATTAACGAGAGTGCTACCTCACCTATAAAAGGAGAAAATTAATTCACTCTATTTTATTTTTCTTGCTATTAAAGTGTGCAACGCAGTAAGGTATTACAATGTAACTATGTAGATTCTAGTACTAGTTTACAACAGGAAGTAGTAAACCCTTTATGTATGTTTAGATTTTTTGGCTTGGACACGTTTGATAATTTAAATGGTACACAAACTAGACTGTGGCACCAACATATTGACTGCCAGCCATACTGAAGAGGAGATTAAAAGAGCAAAGCAAAGGGTGGAGGTTTATTCTTTTATTGAGTCTAAAAGTAAGAATATTTATTTCACAAATTACAGATTGTAAAAATTTGTAAAACAATTTTAAGATGTAACCCATTGTAAACATATAAATTTATTTACCTACTTTAACCTTCATCTATTGTAATTTATTGCGAAAACAACGGATTTTTTAAATCTTTACAGTCATTTTGATATTTAATATAAAATATTCTGAAACAAAAATATCATTAAATTATTTTTGCGTCACAGTATGACTATTTTTATCTTGATAAAAAAATACGACGTAACGTAATTTACTTGTGTAAATAGTGTTATTTCCATCATTTACATTTTACATTTTACTTTATGTCCAAAACAAAAATAGTTCAATGAAATTGTAATTTTAATAAGATTGTATTGAAACAAAGAAATATTGTAGAAATAACTTGTACAACTCTCGTTTTCCAGTTCAGATATGATTACGATTATTAAACAGTTACATTTAGAAAAGTATCAAAACAAGTTACGATTTATATTCAGTGATTAATTATGTTTTTTTAACTCTTTGCTTTTTTTACGATAATGTATATTATATATTAAAAAACGAGCTAATATTAATAGTTTGCATCCGTTGAACTCTTTGCACCCATGGTAAGAAATTGTTAGTTCAGGACTTCTATTGAATTTACGCTCTAAATTGGTCGTCATTTGTGCTGAGAAGAACGTAGAATCTTCGCGAGGCTTATGTTAAGTATTTATGTAGAAGTATTGACTTTGGACTAGAGCTTACTATCTAACAAGCTTTGAATGTTATAATTTAAATTGCTATAAAATCATGCAGTTATGTTAAGGTAGGGGTTTGAGTGTTACTACTAAGGAACTTACTCTAATCTTTCTTAGTAGTAGTATCAAACTTACTAACAACCAAAGCTATGTATAAGTCTCCAGTCCCTAAATCGCGATCTAAAACATTGATTGAATCTACAGAACCGAGCATTTCTTTACTTACATGTTTCAACTCCGATCCTGCTTCCGACTTCATAGGTTTGATAGAAAAAATACCTTGGAGATAACTATTTACAAGTCTACGCTGACCATAATTAGTTGAAGTCTGCCAAGCTAATGGATATTGATCATCCGTTAAGTACATTGATTTAATATTGTCAATATCCATCCTATGATGGACTAAAGATCGGTATGTATCACGAAAATTCTCCTATTCTGAATGTTTGTCCGAGAATTTAGGCAGCTCAATACACAACAAATAAAAGTTACTAGCTAATAAGTGTCGGATTGGGTAGTGTGGGGTGAACAATAATCCCGAGCATCAATTTCCGTAATCAATTTGATAAAATCTCCCTTAATTAAGAAATACAAACCTTCTACCTTCTCGGGTTACTTAGTAGAAAATACAAATGATTCTTATCTAAAGGAGTGAGTAACATTGTTACATTATAAATCACATGAAACCGTACTAAATACTCCTTTAATTAATTAAAGTCTAATCTCTTCCTCGTTTTATTTTCTCACTGCCTGCCATCGTAAAATTTCGAGACAATTACTAATCCTCGTATGAAGTGTGATTTGACTTTGATAGAAGGTATCTATTTTATTCATTGGTAAGAAGTTGCAAGAGCTCTGAGTTAGCAGAAACTTCAATTGAGAGTTTTGCAAATTTCGTTGGCAAACCTATTCGCTCCGTGCATCAGGTTGGAAGGGATAAAAAAAACGACTGCAGCGCTGTAGGTAAGCAAAGTTGGCGAACCCGTACCCCCATGAATCTTACAGTAAGCGTTGTCTTGTATGAAAAAAGATATTATTTCATTTAAAGTAATTAGTTGAGAAATCAAAGGTGGAAAAAAATGTTATTTAGCCAAACCGGGTCTATAATACGGATAAATAATTTTGCTAGGCACTTCAAGTCGCCCGAAATTTTAAATAATGGGTTATTAAATATCATCTGTCATATAGTACACAACACACATACTTATCTGTAATGTTGTATACGTGAGAGCAAGAACTCCAAGCAGTCGACACAGGCTGCCGCTAGCTGTATAATCTGAATTAGTGNATAAGGTCACACTTGGGAACGACAGTCACGAATTCACATTTGTCCGTCGACTGGTATCTGTTCCAGTAAATGGGCATCGAAGATATAAAAAAAGCTGTGCACCAATTGGCCATCACCACAACTTTTATTACGCTCTTGGTCATGTATCTTGGATATTCAAAAGGATAATAAATTGCTATGTAACGATCAACAGCTATTGCCATGACGTTGAATAGACTAGTTAAAAAGGCACCACAGGAACAGACTTGCCTGTTTAAATGAAAGAAGGGTATAATCAATTCGTAAACGAAGTTTTTTTGAAAACTACAGTTAAATGTATATGATTATATGCGTATTGGGGTGGATTCTTTGTACGTAAAATACCCGTTTTCCGTTTATCTTAACATTTTGTATTTTTAAATTTAACTACTAAGTTCTTATTTTTCTCAATTAACAGCTAAATAGCTCGACTTACATATGAACGATAAACTTTATTGAAAGGTAGCTGCCACATGTAGAATAGACATAAAGAGAAATATGAAAAATATGTCCATATGGGTACAAATACAACATATTAATGATGGGCACCACCCATAATTAGTGTATTATAGCGGAGCAAAAGTACTGTTTCTATTTTGTTTTGTTTTATCCATCTCAATGTGTAGAATTTCGTCTCCGAGTGAAAAAAAATAATACTCAATATCACATTACTCACTTCAATATACACACGTTCTTGTAGTCATTCAGCGACGGTTCGAAGAAAGCAACCACTTTGCAGAGTGTCACGAGACCCACACATAGATCCGAGATAGTGAGGCTGAGCATCAGGTGGTTGGTGGTGACTCTAAATAGTCTGGGACACAACTTTCCAGCTATGATAGTCATGCCATTACCAAATACAATTACTACTGCCAGTACTACGGTAACGATAAACTTATACATCTCGATACACTAATGTGCCTAAAGATAAAATATTATGATTTATCCTGAATTCGATGATCCAATTGCACCACTTAATCATGAGAGTTCATTGTTTAGTCATATACTCTTTTACTTTTTTACAAAACGAAATACAGAGAATACTGAAATTTCCATAAAAAATTGAAAAACAATAACTAATAATGTATATTGTGGTGTGCTACCAATAGTCTTCTCTTCATGCATTGCTGCCACAGCACTGCAAACATGCGGAACATATCAAAGAAAATACAACCACGTTAATAAGCTTATTAGTTTCATTAACGAGAGTGCTACCTCACCTATAAAAGGAGAAAATTAATTCACTCTATTTTATTTTTCTTGCTATTAAAGTGTGCAACGCAGTAAGGTATTACAATGTAACTATGTAGATTCTAGTACTAGTTTACAACAGGAAGTAGTAAACCCTTTATGTATGTTTAGATTTTTTGGCTTGGACACGTTTGATAATTTAAATGGTACACAAACTAGACTGTGGCACCAACATATTGACTGCCAGCCATACTGAAGAGGAGATTAAAAGAGCAAAGCAAAGGGTGGAGGTTTATTCTTTTATTGAGTCTAAAAGTAAGAATATTTATTTCACAAATTACAGATTGTAAAAATTTGTAAAACAATTTTAAGATGTAACCCATTGTAAACATATAAATTTATTTACCTACTTTAACCTTCATCTATTGTAATTTATTGCGAAAACAACGGATTTTTTAAATCTTTACAGTCATTTTGATATTTAATATAAAATATTCTGAAACAAAAATAATTGAAGAACAAAATGAAAAAAAGAGAAAACTGATTTTTCAACATTGATGTAAAATAATGAGAAAACAAATTAATTGATGGAATTTTAATTTTTTTTAGCAGAGAAATTTTCGTACGTTTTTATTTTATAACCAATCTACAACCTCTGTTAGGTAGTCAAATTTAAAATTCTTCAAAAAAAAAAAAAAAAGTTTTTATTTCATCAAACACATTACTCATTATACATATTTTTTTATAATACATACTTCAAATTGATTTTTTTATTTACATATAATATTGAGAGTGTGATCATTAAATTATTTTTGCGTCACAGTATGACTATTTTTATCTTGATAAAAAAATACGACGTAACGTAATTTACTTGTGTAAATAGTGTTATTTCCATCATTTACATTTTACATTTTACTTTATGTCCAAAACAAAAATAGTTCAATGAAATTGTAATTTTAATAAGATTGTATTGAAACAAAGAAATATTGTAGAAATAACTTGTACAACTCTCGTTTTCCAGTTCAGATATGATTACGATTATTAAACAGTTACATTTAGAAAAGTATCAAAACAAGTTACGATTTATATTCAGTGATTAATTATGTTTTTTTAACTCTTTGCTTTTTTTACGATAATGTATATTATATATTAAAAAACGAGCTAATATTAATAGTTTGCATCCGTTGAACTCTTTGCACCCATGGTAAGAAAATAATATTTTTTTAATCATTAAATTTCTGAAATAATTATTTTTATCATAAAAGTTAGATAAACATAAGTAATTACAGGTTACATATAATCCAAAAATTTTTTTACACTTTTCTGTCAATCTCAGCCAAAATCCAACTAATCTCCAATCATACAACATCAAACTCGATAGATTCACCACGCTGTTGTTTAAAAGATTGATGGTTCGAAGAGCTTTCGTCTCGAATCGGCGATTGACACTTTATTAAGAGACAAATGGCTTTGTGAATGTTTGGATTATTCCACGTGTAGATTATTGGATTAATACCACTGTTTAATATCATCATAAACAGAGTCATTTGATACACTTTAAGACTAGTGTCTGTAAGTTCATGAAATTGTAAAAAAAGTGAAAAGCTAATGTAGGGAAACCAGCAGATCGTAAAGGCACCCAGGATTGAAAGCACGACCTTAAGAAAAAAAAATTATAAATAATTTACAGTAAAGAGGACATCAGAAAAGTACATAAATTTTAAAATTGGTACATGTACGAGAAGTGTATACCTGATTGCTCTTACTACTATCACACTTTCGGGTCAAGCCAAGTTCATTGGATCTTTTTCTTAATCGGTACAAATGAGCCCGAGCTTCCCTCCATATTTTATAGTAAAATATGAGAACAATGATCCAACTTATTAAAAACGCTGGTACAATAATTCCATTGTAGTAGTTCCTTCAACGTAAAATGTGAGCATGATTTACTATTTTCAAGGAAAAATAAGACAACAATTCTACTTAATATAATAAGGTCACACTTGGGAACGACAGTCACGAATTCACATTTGTCCGTCGACTGGTATCTGTTCCAGTAAATGGGCATCGAAGATATAAAAAAAGCTGTGCACCAATTGGCCATCACCACAACTTTTATTACGCTCTTGGTCATGTATCTNATAAGGTCACACTTGGGAACGACAGTCACGAATTCACATTTGTCCGTCGACTGGTATCTGTTCCAGTAAATGGGCATCGAAGATATAAAAAAAGCTGTGCACCAATTGGCCATCACCACAACTTTTATTACGCTCTTGGTCATGTATCTCGGATATTTAAGAGGATAATAAATTGCTATGTAACGATCAACAGCTATTGCCATGATGTTGAAGAGACTTGTCAAAAGGGCACCACAGGAACAGACTTGCCTGTTTCAATTCAACGAAAAAAAAAAATATTTAAATAAAAACATGTTAATAAATTCGTAAAAAAGTGTTTTGAAAAATAACACCTAAATATGTATGAGTGTAAGTTTTTGGGGGTAATTTTATCCTCATAAATACTTATCAATGGTTTACTCTTAACGTTTTGTTTTAGTAAATGCAATCGTTTAAAATGTCTCAGTGAGGGAAAGAGTCGTATGAGATACTCTGTGCAAGTGTATACAAGGTTTACATGATATCCAAAATATCTCATTACTCACTTGTATATACACACGTTCTTGTAGTGATTCAACGACGGTTCGAAGAAAGCAACCACTTTGTAGAGTGTCACGAGACCCACACATAGATCCGAGATAGTGAGGCTGAGCATCAGGTGGTTGGTGGTGACTCTAAATAGTCTGGGACACAACTTTCCAGCTATGATAGTCATGCTATTACCGAATACAATTACCACTGCCAGTACTACGGTAATGATAAACTTATACATGTCGATACACCAATGTACCTTGTATAAAAAAAATATGGTTTTTTTTTGTAACTATCCTGACCCATTTAATCACGAGAGTCTATTATTTAGTCCTAAACTCTTCCACTCATTTGCGAAACCAAAAAATATACTCTTTTAAAATTGCCATAAGATGATGAAAAACAACAACTGGTGATTTACAATACGCTGTACCCATCACCGTCCAGTTGACACGCATTGTCGCTGCAGTACTGAAAACGAGCGTAATAACATATCAGAAAATAACACTCCATTAATAAGCTGATCAGTTTCATTAACAAGAGTACTACCCTACCTTGTAAAGGCGGGGGGATTTCATTCACTTATCATTATTTCTCTTGCCATTAATGTGTGCAACGTAGTTAGGTATTACGATGTAACTACGTTTCTAGTACTTGTTTACAACAGGAAGTTGTAAACTCATCTTCTAAATATCGAATATGTAATGCCTAATTGGTATATGTGAAGTACCTCAACTTCGTGCCCAGGAACTGAGTAATTCACAGATATGAACATTTTTTACTTGGATCTTTAGTAAGTACTTAATTTTTCGTTTCTCAAGGCTTGAAAGTATACATTTATCCACTTTAGTATGTATTACTTACACATTTGTTTTTAAATCTGAATTTCTTGAGCTACGGATATATCAATTGTTTCAATTGCTTATGATTTAAAAAGTTTACAAAAAGCGAGATCAAAACCTTTAATTTTATGGTAAATCTTAACCACTCATTACATTCACATACTTATAAGTATGTACTATTTTTCAACTATACTTGCACTATACTTACGACGTCACTTGCGTTTATCTTTATTTATACTAATTAAATGTTAAAAAGTGTAATACTTAAACCTTTTTGGAACTGAACAGAGTAATGGTACATTGAAAAGTCACGGTTGGGCTATAATTTAAAGGAATAACCCTACTCTCACCACTTGGCCCAGTGTATACAGCCAACCTTTTATGTGTCGTCTTGATTTAGACGAATGTACAGATGCAGGAAATTAATCTGTTCTATAATACGTAACGGTATAATTTTCAATAATTTAAGCGCCTTTGAAAATTTCATTACGTCATTTATCCATGTTATTAATGATCTGCATAGAAATAAAAAATAATTAACGTTAGATCACCGCGTGAATCGAAAATCTCGTAAACCGAAGACCAGCTACTCGTGCGGAGAGAGCCGTGTCGTTCTGCATTACGAGCCTCGGGACAATGGCACGTACGCACATACATATCCAACGCGTCATCTGTATGCACGGCACATTCGCCTCCCACACCGGAAGGTAGGTGCACTATAATATCCAAACCAGACGCGGAATTCTCATACAAGTGACTTTGTTGCCTTAAAATAAAAGGACAACGAAAGCCCAGCGTGCACTCCCTTCCTCGACGACCGTCCAAAAGCACCAGGAGCCCAGATATCGCATCATCTTGATAGTTTCGAGTTGGCTATATTTGGCTTCTGTTGTTACCGAATCGAGCAATTCGTCCCTCGTCGAAGCCACTACGAGGCAGATTTTCTTGAGGAGGATCGCATGACTTGTCGGAGGAATGTGAGGAGATGAAGTTTCTCGTGTGCTGAGGCTCATGGCTGGACTCCCCGACATATCATCGGATCAAATTTTAAGTATAGGTACACTGTTGTACCTCCACCTACTGCCAAAATTTTTACACGTGGCAAAAGAGAGAAGATCTTCTCATTTATTATATGGGCTTTTACTTACGCTTATGGCTTGAAATGGTACGTGGACAGGTTTTTTGGGGAGTTGCTTCTTTTTTTTTTTTTATTGCTTTAAAATTTGATTTGTTTCGGCACTTGCGCTTTTTTGTCATAAAAACTGATAGCCGAGACCGTATGAATAAGCTATTACTACTAAATTGGAAATGTACAAGTAAATGGAAGTGAAAACGTGTACCTTTTTTATTATCAAAAGTTTCACAAAGTTTCACGGATAGTTAAGTATTTTTTCTTTAACAAAAATGACTGTTGTATTGCTTCATCTTGACCGATACATTACACTTGTTCTCGCGTGATTAAAGGTAATTTAAAAGTAATTATTAGTACTAGTATAATACTCGGTATCACGCAAAAACGCAAATTTAAATCCAAAGTGGCAACACAAAAAAATCCTATTCGCCGTTTATGTAATCTGCGCAAAAATGAACGCACAAAAAAGACAGCAAAGAAAGGAATAAAATTTCCTACAAAGATGCACTCTATCAAACACACAGTACACAGAAAACAACTATTATTCAGTCATATACCCTCACATCCCCATCACAGTCAATGTAGACCTATGGGGTGGGGTCCGAAATAACGACAGTTCACTTCAATTTTGCAGTAAAACTATGAATGTTCATTTCAGCGACGTGTATTCCGACGACAACGATAGCTCAGTGCAGCGACTGTTCAGTATTTCGACAGCCAATCATTAGACAGTTTACTTTGACTTTCTTCTTATACTGCTTCGTGATTGGATGTCGACATAACGAACAGTCGCTGCACTGAGCTAACGTTGTCGTCGAAATACACGTCGCTGAAATGAACATTCATAGTTTTACAGCAAAATTGAAGTGAACTGTCGTTATTTCGGACCCCACCCGACCTATGCATGGACAAATAGCCCTTATACCCAGCCAATTACACCTAATGAAGCGCAGCAATAGAGTATCAGTAGCCCATCCGTGGAGCAGCTACACACTATGTCACTCCCCCTTGAACGAAAAAATAGGAGAACGCGCGCCTGGTCGGAGAGGAGAAAAAGAAGAGGTGGTCTCTGGCTCGCGCAGTTGACACGAGGTATAGCGGACCTAGTGTCGCCTGGCAGAGCGCGGGGCTGGCTGCAGCCTGTTGCGTGACCCTGGCGATCAATATCGGCGCCCCGGCGGCGCACCTTTACCCCCGCGCCGTACCTACTACATACCTATACTCGCTGCTCGCCCGCGTTCTCCTATTCTCTCGAGTCCAAGGATGCCCGTACGCTCCGGTGCCTTCGAGTTGCTGTACCTGCAAACGTGCACAAAATTATGTCCTCTTCCCTCTGTTTCGGCTCGAACACTGGTACACTCTATTCGTTTGAACAGCGAGCACGACTGTTTCTACTGCAGCTAGTTGATGCTGCAAGGCAGAGCCCGGCTGACCGGACGCGGAGCTTTTCTACTGGCACGAGGGGCGCGCGAACGCGACAGTCCGTCGACTCTCTCCGGGAATCCGGACGGCTCGTTTCACCTGATTGAATCCGGTTCTGTCTCACTTTTTCTTGCTCTCTTCCTTCCTTCCTTCCTGTATTCGGAAGAGCTTTGTACGGTGCTTTTTTTTCAGCTTATACCCCAGCGGGAGTATAATCCGGACTTTTCTCGATTGATTTTCTTTTTAACAATAAGGGAGCTTTATTATAAACGGAAACAAACTCTTTGTAACTTTTTAATGCCAAAAGGAAAAGCGTTTTTTTGCCCCTCCCCCTTTTTGTTGTAGATTTGCAGGCAATTGCGGGTGTACTTTCCACTCATGTGTGTTCATGGCGTAATATGGGGATTCCCCTTTAAATCGATTTTAAGACCTTTTTTCCCTCGTTTCCCACAGTTTGTGACGCATTACTTCTAGTTGTATGAAATGATAAATAAACTCTCTGGCCACGGGCCAATGCAGTGTATAACCCCAGGAATTCAAGTCATTTTTTACTTTCGTCCCGGCTACATTGAATTTCAAAATCACGCGCGCGCTCTGCACAATAGTGCAAGAGGCGTTTGGGCTCTGCATACGCGTATACGTTTCTGCCATAGGATTCGCGAACAAAAAGGCTTGCCAGATATTTGTAGAGTGAAAAGGGATCTATACCTGCCCTACGTGGCTCTCGGAGCTAATTATACGAGGTCACGCTTATTGAAAGATCGTTCGATTTCTTTTGAATCAGCTTTATTTGATGAAATGTAGCGAGTTTTAGGGTATTTTAATCCATCGATGACAAACTTTGAGGATATTTTTGCTGTTAACTCATTAGAGGCTTCACCATGGACCAACAATAAATAGAAAACTCATCTCTTGATCCTAAAAACGGTACAAGTATAATTTATCTAGTCTATGTTACTGTTTTCTTGAGCTTCGTCATTAAAAACGAAAGTTCCACTTGCAGGCTCGCTCGTCGACTCCAAATTCATTATAAAAAAAAAAAAAAATAAAATAAAATAGAGAAAAAGAAAAAAAGAAAGAATAACCAGAACACAATTACTTAATACATGTATACGCGTAGAGAAAAGCAGCAAAACAAAAATAAAAACAAGCCTCTTCTGCTCCGAGGCATTCTTTCCGCGCTCCTTTATACTTCAGCCTCATTTTCATTCTCGAGTCGCCACGGCCGCGAGTCAATTTCGGGGCTAAGGTCGTTTTTAATTGGCAAAAGCTCCTCTCGTTCTCTCTTGGCTTTTGCAGAGCCTCGGCGTTGTATTTGCGGTCCCATTATCGTGGCAAGCTGCTTGCACGACCGAAGAACGGAAGAAACGGAAGGAAAAGTGGTAAACGCAGGGGAGACGCCCCCACGCAAATTAGAAAGCGAGCTTAGCCGGACTTATTTTTTGCTGTGCACACCGAGCGAGAGTTACAGAGTAAAATTGTGGCGTACGTTATGTTTCGGATGGCTATTTTTCCGAAAAATTATTTTAGTTTTCTTTCAGCTGTCAACTTTAATGCTCTCGTATTCGACCTAGTCGCATATTGCGCGTTACGTTTCATTGTATCGTTCTTGCGAGTGTGCTTGAGCAGGAAAAATAGTGGAGGGATGCGTTGGCTTCGACAAAGTGGGTGACTGCAAAATTGTTGTTTCTCTTTTTTTCAGAGAACGTCATTAAAATATGTTCCGTGGCTTCTGGCAGAGTCGTAATGTTGTTGGGTGTGCTCTTTTTACAGATGTGTGTGCGTACT